ATGAATTTCCCATTCACATGAAGTGGCTTTCATTTGGTATTGAAGACTGTAAATTAATTCAACTGCATAAAATCGAAATGAAATGGCCAGCAGGCAATAAGCTGAAAATCATCATCGGCAATCAAGTAATGTGGCGTGTTAAAAGCGCTTAAAAAGAGTTCCTGCTGTTATTTGGTTGGGAAAATCAGTCTATTAAAAGCCATCATTTCATTTTGTCAACTGGCCTGGCCAGAAGTGAGCAGTCACAAATTGCATTTAAATAAGCCAGTGGAATTTGTATTTTTGTGTCTAGACCGGAAATGAAAAAAAGGTTATTGCCATCGTTTGCCATCGTTGACACCAGGTGTTTGGGCCGCCTATCGAGTTTCGGCCAGAAATTCCAGAGATGTCTTTCAAGCGAAATGAAATGTAAACTCAACCGAGTTCTCAAAAGCCTGCCTTTCAAGTGCTTAGCATAATTTAAATAATTTTTTAGCCACAAAAAATAGCCAGAAAAGTAAGAGGGAAATGGAAAAGGACTTAGCAAAATCCGCTTAACTGAGGAGATGTCGGGCTTAAATTTAAACTCTTCTCGTGGTATTTTTTTTTTGTTGTTATCAAAATAGTTGCTTGCATTATCAGGGAGCTGGCATTAGGGCTGGTTCTCTCTGTCATGGACCAAGCATTTCCAATCAATTGAAATTCAATGCTCCAGTGGAAAGCAGGGAGCGGAAACGGAAGTGGAACTTTGGACATGCAATTTAAATTCAATTTTACACACAAACAGCCAACACAGGGAGGGTGCCAAAAAAGGAAAGAAGGAGCAGGTGGTGGGCAGCAGGATATGGTGTGGATCTCAATTCTGTGAGCTGCTGGTTGCCCCGGCTTTTATGACGATTTCCAACACAAATGGGTTTCATTCGATTTGGCCACGACGTGTCCCAGCAACAGGGACAGTTCAATGTCAGGCCAGGACCAACGAGGAAGGCTACCATTATTTATGGGAATCGCTGGGGAGGTTTAACAATGGCTGTTATTCTTTGCGCTTCGCCGGATTATAGGGTATCAAGTATGTGATTTAACAGTGTTGGGTTTATAGGGGAGTAACTAGGCGAGAATCCTTAATAAGGAAGAAATAGATTATTAGAAGCATCTTCTACATAACAATAATATAGAATCATAAAAGGTAGATGTTTGATCAAAACAAAAACTCAAACAAGACAGAATATCTTAAACTTTTGATTATTTCCTAGAGCTATCTTAAAGAGCATCTAAAATTCGTTATTACCTCACCTTCTGTGAGTGCTGTCACTGGTGTCCTGTTTCTATTTCTACGACTATCTTCATATCTTTAGCTGGGTGTGTCGCTTGTTGCGCTTGCATTTCAATTGATGGCACCATCATTAAATTTCCAATGTTTATCCCGGACCGCCGCCTGCTGAATTCTAAAAACAAACCACCGCATATACTATATCTGTCTGTATGTATGCGATTCTATCCTCTTCCTCCGTTTCCTGTCACACAAACACTGACAATATTATGTGGCAAACAAGTCACAACATCAACTATACTGCTAAGCGGATTGGGTTACTGGTCGCGTCTAATATCCTGGACGCTGACAATGTTGTCCTGCTCCTTTGTGATGGGATTGACTTAATGCCAAGTTGGCAACTTGGCAAGGAGCTATATATAGATGAGACACCACACATCTGCTGTTGATTCAAGACGCTCCTGGGTTAGGTACACTGAAAGGAAAGGTAATATTGTTTTCACTTCTTACCTATTGTGTCTTGATTAAGAGCAGTGTCCTTGTATTTCTCATCATCATGGCTACAAAAATGTTATTAGTTTAGTTTCCTTTTTCCCTAAGAATCAAATTAATGACTCATTTTTCTTGCCATCTATATTCTCTGTGCATCAATTACCAATTGGCAATCAACACGTCCCTGGGCGCTGTTGCTGCTGCTGGCCGTGTAAATCAGGCTAATTAAATCAGAATGCGGCATTAAAAGTTTATGGTGGCTGTGGGCCAGGGACAGCAAGAACATTAATGTAATCATTTGCCATAAATTTGCATTTATGACGCGTCTTGTGCACGTTGTCGTAGCAATTCATTTGCCGGTCAGCGATCCTGTCATCTCAGGACGTTGGGAGCACGACGTGGACGAGCTGCTGGCGTATTAATTAAAGTGTCGCCGCTAATGAGTTAGATTAAAGCGGGCAGATGCGCGAGTTTTCTGGCGTCAGTTCCTCGCTTTCATTCCGGGCGAGCGTGCGTGTAATTGGCAATATCTGTTGGCCAGGATTACACCGGAAAATGTCTGTGTGTATCTTTAGATGTCTCTGTGTGTGTGTTTAAGGATGTGGGTTTTTGGGTCTGGGACATTCATTAAGCTATTTATGCACGATGTCGCCTAATGGGCTGGAGTTCTCTCTCTTCCCCTTTTCATGGCTTACAATTGCCAGGTTAGGCGCAGATAAGTATGCTTCAGTAATCTTGACAACGATTTAATGCAAAAAATCTGAATTTTGTTAGCCAGATTAAAGACTATAAGTAATTGAAGTATTAAACGATTTTATTACTCTTATTAAAGAGGAGTACTAAACAATTTTTATTACTAACTCTATTTATGCAGTGTTTTTTATGTTTAATTACTTTACAAATATTTATTCCGAACTAAAGAAAGTCGTTTTTAACCCAACAACATTGTAAATGTGTTAAAAAATACATTTCTGCCGTCTTGTTTTCTTGTAATTTCCTTTCAGACTTTGCTTTTATTTGATTGAGTTCCTTCCTAGCGTAAATAATTTAAATTGACGAAACTTCTGCATTCAAAAGAGAAAATCCTAGGACAAAAAATAAACAAAAAATCGGGCATTTCGCTTTAAACATTCCATTTTGCTAAGAAATCGCAAAGGGAAAGAAAGAAAGAGCAGTTCATGGCAAAAATATATACACAGCAGTCATACATCAGAATTATTCAGCAATAACTATGGAAATGTTTATAACGAGCAAGTCATCTGTCTCTTTCCGAGAGCTGCAGCTGATAAAATAAAATAAATTCGCATATTAAATGTAAACTTTCTGCATCTTCCTCTCTCTCTTTTTCTCTCTGTCTCTTCTCTGTCTTCTCTGGCTGGCACATATTTTATGTCCCTGAACATTCGCCAACTGACATTATTAATACTAATTTATACACAACAAGCCTCAGAATCTGTGTGTGTGTGTGTGTGTGTGTTTTTGTAATCTTGTTGCGGCAGTTGGCTTTTTAAATGGCCTACACAATTGTTGGGGCCCACAAAGGTTGCCATGGGAGTGCCTTAATATGGGAAATTTGTCTTTTCAATTGTGCATGTGCTGTTGGCCTCATAAATGTTTTATGTGGTTATATCCAACATTTATTCGCTCGACAAAATCTCTTTCTCTCTCTCTCTATCTATCTATATCCCTCTGTAAAAGCCATTTCAAATGGAATTCTTGTGATATTGATTTTCGAGAATTTAATTAAACCCTTTTGCCGCCTCTCCGATGTATTATCAATAAATTTGTGTGCCAAAAACCATAATCCCCGCCCGTATTTGTAGCCCACCGATAAATCGAAAAGTATACATTTGGCCCCACAAAGGAAGGAGCTGCTGCAGCGGCTGTGTCAGCCAGGAAATGCCAGTAGCATTCAGCTGCACCACAATCCAGGCTGCTGGCCACTAAATTGTGGCACCAGCTGCTGGCACACGGCCATCTGGCCAAAAGGTATCATCATCATCTCGCTCCCTGTTTTACCAGCTCCCCCCAGCCATATAACCCCTCCAGCTAGCTGCATTTCCAGAGTCCCGGCTATAAAGCCTTTGCCGCGCATCGCAAATCCGGAGGCTGTGGCTGCTGTGGCCTGACTGACTGATGGCCAGGTGAAGCCTTCAACGCCGGGATTAAGCGGAGCTGGGAGGGGTAGGAAAGAGTATAAGTGTGCGCACTGAAAAAATATTACAATTATTTATAACAAATAGTATTTAAAACTATAGCGACTTTAATTATTTCCACTTTGATATCAACATAAAAAGTGTTTTCTCAGTGGAACAATTTTGGTTATTTTCTAAGATATTTGTTTTTATAGAAGATAAATCATAAAAACCAAAAAAGATTTACCTTATTTATTCTTTAAATTTGAATTTTATTTACCATTTGGTGGTTAAGAAAGTTTCATATTGAATCTTCTTTATATCAGTTAAATTTGAAATTTTCCCTATTTTGGACAACTCAAAAGCTCCCCGAAATGGTCCAAGAAATGTAATAATTTCAAGGTATCTAATATGCACACAAATTTTGCAGAGTGCCTTGTGCAGTTTGCTTAAATGAAAACTTTCATTTGAGCGAAATATCTAGTTTCATTATTGCAGTTAGCAAACAGAAAGTTGCCAGCAGTAGCCCAAATTCGTCGAAAGGCCGTCGAGAGAAAGGAGAAATTCACTTTTAATTATTTACGGCTAAACAGAAAGGAGGAGAGTTGGCCGCAGGAGACACTTTTTGTGCTCTGGACATAGAAACTTTTCACCAAATGCCGTTTGCCTGGCTTTCATTTGCTGTGCCCTACTACCCTGTCATGCCAAGGGAAGAGGCAGGGAATTGAAAAAAGGGAAAATATGGTTGGTGTCGAAGCATTTGAGAGTTTCCTTTCGGTTCCGTTTGCAATTCCATTACTTTAATGTGCCAGGAAGGAAAGGGAAAACTTTTAAATCTTTATTTATAAAAGCTTCCGCACAGGCGGCAACTTTTGTGTGTGCGAGTGAAAATGAAATAATTCCAACAGCCACAGCTTTGCGGTGGGCCATGCGGTTTGCCTGGCCAAAACTATGCCAGCCAAACTTGCTAAATGCCCTGACAAACTTTTCCCTCACCACCAAAAAGGGTGTGGGAGAGTGAGCTATATAGTTATATACATATATATTTTCGGCTTAATTTGGATTAGGCTTAAGACGTGCAAATTGTTTAGCTAATTCATCGCCTTATTCTATTTCCCTTGCAGTGCATGCAAACCTATGTAGAGTTTGAGATTTCCGAGGGCGCCTACGAGATCTCATGCCCGGACGCCAAATGCCCGGCTCAGGGCGCCATTTCCCTGCCCGAGATTGCGAACCTAACGACAACGAATCTGCTGAAGAAGCACCATCGCTATCGGCTGAATCGAGGTAAGTTTTTATATTTATTTTTTCCAAAAAGAAATTCTTTAATTTATAATTTCTTTGCCAGAAATCGAATTGGACAAGACGCGCACATGGTGTCCACGAGCTGGTTGCGAGACCATCTGTATGGTGGGCGGAGCAGCACAGCCCGGTCAACCGGGCGCCATTTGCCAAATGGACGAGTCGCCGTCGACCTCGCAGAGCTACAGTCCACAGCAGGAGGCGGCCGGAAGCGGAAGCGCAGGTGCCGCGACCGGAAACGGAGCCGCCGTGCTCTCGGTGTCAGTACATTGTCCCTCCTGCAAGGACGAATTCTGCGGCCTCTGCAAAAAGGCGGTGAGTGTTCCGGCATTGTGTTGCTTTTTGTGTGGTTTTGCGATAAACATGAAACAAATAAAAGCTTTTGTTTTGATTCAAAAATGATTTTAAATATTTCAAAAACATCAGAAGATAAGCAGATTGCCAATTACTGTTATGTATTTATCATGTTTTAGTTATTATAATATAATTTTAGCATTTGGGGATAAAATTAAAAACTGCAAAAACAAAACATTGCCACTGACATTTTTAAATAAATGCGTAACCAACAAAAAAATGATTACGAAAGAGAAATCCCTAAACTAATGTTAGTCAAGGGGGATTTTGATGTTTTTTTTTAATTTTATTGTCGCATATTTTAGTAATTACTGACATGTGTTCTAATAAATGTATTTCGATTACTAATTTACATTGTTTACTCCTCCTCCAGTACCATCCAAACGTAAGTTGCGATGAGTTTGGACGCCGACTGGTTGCTGATGGCCAGGATGACATTGGCATACCGTTCGACAACGAGCTGATCAAGTTGTGCCCCATGTGCGCGGTGCCCATCGAGAAGGACGAGGGCTGCGCCCAGATGATGTGCAAGCGTTGCAAGCACGTCTTCTGCTGGTACTGCCTGGCCAGTTTGGATGTAAGTTTTTGGAATCTTTTGTATAATGGTTATTTAATTGTGCTCCGCAACAGGATGACTTTCTCCTGCGCCACTACGACAAGGGACCGTGCAAGAATAAGCTGGGTCACTCCAGAGCCTCGGTGGTCTGGCATCGCGCCCAGGTTATTGGGATCTTTGCCGGCTTTGGTATACTGCTACTGGTGGCTTCCCCTCTCCTGCTCCTAGCGGCACCGTGCATCATCTGCTGCAAGTGCCGAGGATGCAGCGGATCAAAAATCGACGAGGTGGACGCCGAGCTGGAGGAGGAGGTCACCGCCTTGCAGGGCTAGGTGGCTGGATCTGCTCCACCCATCCGTACCCATCCATACGCGACATTAGGCTGCAGCCTGTTAAGCAGCTGCTGTAATTACTGGTAGATTCTATTGCTAATGACGACAGCTTACGTACATTTATTTTAGTTATTACAATTATAATTGTATATGTGTTAACTAAATTGTGATATTTACAGTGATTCGATTTCTAATTGAATCGACAAATTTGTTGAGAACCTATACAAAGACAAGACGCCTTCGATTCTTTTTTAGGTTCTGTCTCTACATATATTCTTTCCTCCCTAAAACAAAATATATATTCACCCAAATCAATCTGTATAAATCGAGTAGGTCCTCTTCATAGCGCATAAGTTAGTCTAAATATATTAGGAGTACGCCTCGTATTTCAACAGTGCTTTTATATCGCACCCACCCAAAAACAAAAACAAAAACACCCAAAACTCACCCACTCACTCACTCCTCTCAAGTATTACGCATGCAACTAACAGACCCAACATCCTTTGGGCCACTTTGATCAACTGCTTGGCAATGCTTTTATCTACGCATACACATATATACACTGCATATAAAGGAGGTGTATATGATGTCACTACTACTGTTTATTGAATGTATTTAATTGTAAATGTTAATATGCAGCTAAAACAAATGTAAAACAGATCACTGCCCACTGGTTGTTCGACCAAACAGATGGTGGTACGCATGCTGGGCAGGGTTTGGTTAATGTAAATTATTGAATTATTTAATGCATATACACTCAGAACACATATATCAAAATACGTATGACATAAAAATGCGTGTATATTTAAAGAAATCATATTTAAACTTTACTCTTAATGTGAACAACTACCGCGTATGCTGTTTGAAATAAAAATGTTAAAAGAAAAGTTTGTGTCTATTATTATTGCTTATATATGAAGTGACCTATAAGTTTTACAAAAGGGCTATAATTACTTATTTTTGGAATTCTGTATAATTTAATGTAAGGTTCAAAATATTCATTTTAAATTCAACCGCCAATTCATACGGACTAACTATATGGCAACTCTATTTTTATGGTTGGAATCTATGCTATATATAATATCGAAGTTCTAAATCGATAACTATAACATATGGTACTATTGGTCTATGGTCACATTAGGTTAATCGTCCATAAATTTATCGAAAGTATTAGCCGGCAAAAAGTTGTTATTTACGTTAATACATTATTGGTGGATTTAACCGTTCGTGGACAGTGTACAAAACAGATAAATCCTCGTCGCCATGGACGACCAGGCGTGCCCGCGGTGCAAGACCACCAAATACCGAAATCCATCGCTAAAGTTGATGGTCAACGTTTGCGGCCACACTCTATGCGAATCTTGCGTGGATTTGTTGTTCCTTAAGGGATCTGGTGCCTGCCCCGAGTGCATGGTGCCCCTGCGTCGTAACAACTTCCGCGTCCAGCTTTTTGAGGATCCCATGGTGGAGAAGGAGGTTGACATTCGCAGACGAATTTTGCGTGACTACAACAAACGTGAGGAAGACTTTGCCTCCTTGGCAGAGTATAATGACTATCTGGAGGAGATCGAGAACATCGTATACAACCTATGCAACAATATTGAGATTATCGAAACAAACAAAAGAATCGAGGCATATAAGCGAGACAATCGAGAGGTCATTCAGCGTAATAAAACTCGTGTGGGACGCGATGAATATGCCTTGGAAGAGATGTTAGAGCTAGAAAAAGTCCAGGAGGAGGCACGAAGAAAAGAGCTTGAAGAGCTGGAGAGCGAGCACAAAAAAAAGAAGGCACGCGACAAGCAGGCACTGATTGAGGAGCTGATGTACAGTGGCAAGGATGCCGCTCAGATTGTCACCGAGTTTGCAGAGAAGGCGGAAAAGCAGCGCGAGGAAGAAAAGCAACTTCCTCCACCCAAGCCCGCCAACGAGTTCTCAACCGGCATCAAGTTCGGTTTGACAGCTGATCCCAGTCTGCTGCCCGTTCCCAAATCCGAGGAAGGTCCGCTTTTCGTCTACGAACCACTAGTTGCTCTCACCGAAGGACCTGAAATGCCGCCCACTAGTGAGATTGTAACCATGGGCTATATTGCCCACATTCGCGGGGAAACTCCACAGGAGAACGCCGGCGGATTTACCTCGACACTGGCCTGCGAACGGGCGCTTCAAGAGGCTCTGCAGGGCCTCTACTATACGGCCACAGCGGGCGTGACTGCCGGAACATAGTCTCCAAAAGAGGGGAGCTTATGATGGTCGCACAACCTGAGCACTGAACGCTTAATTTGTTGAACAAATGTGTCCTATACCCATTCAGTTAACTCGTAAACTTAATATATATTAATGAAATAAATGCTATATTGTATGTTATTCAAGATTTTTTATGATGCACTTTATCTACAAGTAAAGTTGTTCGGCGTATAAATAAACAGCAGGAATCGAAAAGCTGACTTAAGAGAAGAATCGAAAATTTGCCTACAGAAAAAAGAAAACTTTCCTTGATTACAGACTTTTTTTTTATTTTAAATACTTTTTAACAGTAAATAATTATAGGCATTTATAGACATATGCTGGATAAACATACATTGGATTTAATTGGGCTCTTTATACAATACACAGATTACAGTTAAATTTTATGGTAGTCGGACGAGTAGCTCGTCACATCCTATGATCTACTTGCACAGTAAGAGGTAAATATGTTCTGTGATCAAGCCACTTGCGAGATTTTGGCCACAGATGGACTATCCTAGCCAAGTCATAAACTGGTTAACTTAAAGACCTAAGCATGGGCAATGTAGGAAATCTACAGAGTGCAGGACTGGTGACAATGAGTGCGATTCGGGGATATGGCTGGTAATACATTTTAAATGTTGTAAACTTAACTATGAACTCATGAGTTTCGCGTTGCATCTAAGATGATAAAATATACACAGTAAATATAAGCTGGGATGGAGGCATAATATATGGGTTAAATCACTACTTGGCCCGGATGCCTCGAACGATGCTCATGGAATGTGGAAGCAGCGGCTGGCGATAAGTGCCAGAACTATCAAACGTTCGATTGGTTTGCATAAGCCTAGTAGTTAGATGGTAGCATAACATTTAATTTAGACATTAATTTGGGTCTTAACAATCTAATTAAAATGTTAACATTTATTAATAGTTTTTCGCACACGCCTTTTGTTGAATATACATAGCTATAATTAGAATTGGTTGCATGCGCTATGATTGTTTACCAAACACTACTGATAGGTTTCTCGTTGACTTGATTTGCTTAGTTGCACATCACGTTCGCAACCGAGTGCACTTGGGTTTTCTGGTCAGCAGATTTTGTTCTGCTTCACTCGCGAGCAGTGTTTGGTGGCCGTCCCATAATTCTTGGATTTTTGGGGCTTTCTCGCCGTGTTCTACTTCTGTATTGCTATTGGTGTTTTTGTGGGTGGATGCGTAAAGCAAACATCAGCAGGCAGTAGTCATAAATTGCGCTTCCAACTAAACAGAATCATCTGCAATAAACAATAAGTTAAGTTATGAGTCTATTTGGGCTTTAAGTTTAAAATCACGCATACGTACCGTGGTACCACCATTTAGTCTTTTTGGGATTCTTATTACAGGTCTTTACGTAGAGTGTATTATCCGACGGACGCTTCTTCTCGCGGCAACTGCTCAACATGGAGGCTATACTAAGGCACACGGATTGCACGGACAACGCCGGCGACCAGTCCTCGGTCAGAATGGATAGGCAGATGTGTCCATTACTGTAGACATGTGGATGCACGGGTATATTGGTACCGATGAAGGTCACCTGGAAACAAATAGAAAGAAAGTGAACATCACCTTCAGATTTTCTTTGTTTAAGTAAAATATTACCTCTGGCGAATCGAAGGGATATTTATTGTTGAATTTAAACAGCAGCTGGAAGTCCTCGCCCTCGTAAAGTGTGCCCTCGAAACCTTTTATGTTTATTTTCCATCTGTAAACCAAAGAGAATTATGAGTGTCAGCATCCAACAATTGCGGGCTTTGTTTTCAACGCAAGTTGCTGAATTAAGCTTATTTTTTTTTTTTTTGTAGTATTTTTGTTGTATGTGCTTGAATTAAACCAGTTTCAGTTTTCGCTGAACTTGGCCCACTCTGCTCTATAGTCTGGACTTACTCTGATAAATTTTGCTGTACGCTTTCAGTGTCAACGGTAACGCCCGGCGGTGGCTCCTTGATCAGGGACATCAGCTCTTTGTGCAAGCGACGCTGTTGGGGGAATTAAAAAATACGAGAATTGAATTAGTTAATGACTTGGACAGTTCTTAGTATATCTTATCGCAAAGCACACCCACAGCTGGGCCATTCTACTCAGCAGTTCTCAAGACTTATTTTTCCGCCCGCCTTATCTCTGCGCCATTTCTCCCTTGGCTTACAAACGCCAATATAGGGTATATAGCCTGTACATAATACACTTATATGTATAGAACGAAACGCACGATAAGATAAAAACAAATGTCACTGAAATTTATAGAACGGTCGATTGTTTTTCCGTCTTTAGCTCTCCCTTATCGAGTAATTGCCGTTTGCAGGGATATTTTCTAGTCGATAAACAAGTACGACTATAACTCCACCCTTCCTTTAATTGATAAGGGCAGAAATGTGCAATCACAAGAAACAAGAAAATAGATCTAAAAATCCCCTTGAAAACAGAGTGGAACCATACAGATTTTTTGAGCTCAAAACACTACACACTCATGACGCAATGACGCACTGTATATATATTTTTTCGACCAATCGTTCGTACGCGATATCTGGCCAAAGTTCAGGATTTATCTCACGGATATACTTGCCTCCCAACGCGAATTGTCCAACTGCAGCGGCTTGCCACATTTCGAGACCGGCGGTGTTTTGGGCTCTTTGGGCTCGGTTATGATTTCCGATTTGGGTATTTTGTCTTTTGGTTTTTTGAACAGCTTCAACATTTTGTAGTATTAGTTTTGCACACTTGTTCAATAGTTTAAGTTTTAAGTTTTGTCACAGATTGATCACTTGTCGAAATATATTACAAATTTTTCTCGACTTGCTAGATTTTTAAGTATTTAAGTTGATGTGTTAGTTAGTTCTAGACTTCAATATGCTAACGCTTTTCCCAGGGGGCGAGAGTAGACCAGGGGCTTGGCAAACATTTTATTTGCGAAGCGAATCTTGTCGACCAACAGCGGCAACGTTCGTGGGGCGACTGCAGGAAAGCGCCGAGAAATTTGTGGGAGAGACTGCAGGGCGAGTCGAGTGACGAAGCTCAACGTTGCGGCGTGTTTCGGTGTGCGTACTATAGCCACACCAAGTTGTAGTCGACGCTGCTTTCGGTACCTCACCAACAATAACACCGCCCACCGCCCCGCTCTCACCCGATCTATATATACGTATATATACGTTTTGCACTATCAAAAATGAGAATTCGCAAGTGCAGCGAAACGGCCCAAACTAGTTTGTTAGCCTGAACGAGTTGCCTGCTCAGCTGGTTTAAGTTTACGTTTGAGCTGAGAAGTCGGTCTGGGATTGGGTCTCCCAGATCACGAGATGGTGACTTCCGTAGGCTCCTTCAGCCCCCGAAAAACATTGGCAAAAAGGCTTATCGGACCACTGCCCTGGCACGCAGCTATTACCTGATAAGCGCACGATTAGATTACAGTGATAATGCCGATAAGCAAATATATGTATAAATACATTGAGAGAAAAAGAATTTATATTGGATTTCTAAAATATATTCATCTTTGATACTTATTTCTCAAAACGTTAATTGAGATGATTTATCAATATTCTTGGCGACATTTTCCTCAGTGCAACCAGCCAAACAAAAGGGAAACAAGTGTTCAAGACGGGCGGCATACGTCAATGGGGCATGCATTTCAATTGATGGAACAATGAGATGTTCTTCGGCGTTTCAAAATGAAATGAAGACGAGTGTCTGCTCGTGATTAAAGGCAATCAAGCAGCGCCCTAGAAGATGATCGATTATATAAGTCGAACAGACACTGGTTTACAGCAAAACTGGTTCCAAATGAAGCGGCCGATCGACAACCACTTAGTAAAGCCAATTAAAGTGGGTCCATAAAATCAGTAAGTTCCGCGGCCAGATAGTAAATATTCTTGGAACCCAAAAGGCCACCAAATGCGAAATACTGAATACTGAAGTAGGCCAGACCAATAAACACGCGCCTCAATCTGCGGGGGTTACTGGCGTTTATTTTGGACTCAATCAAATCTAGAGAGAGCAAAACAAAAGCTGCTTGAATCACCCAGAAATAAATAAATAAAAATGCAATTGAATGCCAAAGTCTAGGAAAAGAACACTGACAGGGAAATTTTATAAGCTCGCTGGCCAGGGGGGAAAACAAAACAACAGCTAAACAATGGTTTCGAAAAATTCTTCGGCAATAAAAGCCAAGCAGAGTGTAAACAAATAAACCAGCAACTGCCAGACTTTGGGGGGCGGTGAAAGAGGGGGGAGCTCTGTGTCTGTTTTTTATTTATTCCTTATTTTCGGAGAATATTTTTCGGGTAAACACAATGGCTGATGAATAAAGCGTGCCGTAGCAGAAATCTTTGTGGCTGATAAACGTTTTGGCAGCTGATAAAACCTAAAAATTTTGGAGGTAAGCCAGAGGGTGAAGGACGATTAGCATAGACATAAACATATGAGAGAGAGAGCGATGTGGGTGGTTCTGAGAGATGGGGGAAATTTTATGAATTGCACATGAATCACAGCTTTCAAAAAATGTTTTGGAATTCGCATTGGATAAACCAATAACCTTGGGCCGTGAATCACACGCCATGCCAAACAATAAACAAACCCAGGCCACCATTCTGGCCAAATTATGCAACTGGGAGGCGAAGGCCCAAAAGGCCCGTCCCCAAAAAGCCATATAAAGCGATTTCCTGAACCGGAGAAATGCTAAGCGCATTACGGTAAAAGGTGAAAGCGGAAGAACCGAGGGGATGGGCCTGATTATACAGTCGCTGCAACCTTAAACTTGCCAAATGTGCTACCTGCCCTTCACCGACGGTCGATAAATCACCTAGTACGTCATCGCTGTAAGTGCTGTGACGTCAGAGATCGTGCCGTGGGGCATTATAAAAATACGAAAACCTGATGCGCCAGTTTCGGCTTTATCATCTGGCTGAAGAGAGCGGCAATCGACATGTGTCACGTTCGCGACGGATGAGCAACAAGTTTTAGACCGCTTCTAGAGCATCTCCTTCTGACGATTGTCGTTGATATGGGAGCATATATATATAAGCTATATAGAAATCTGGGGAAACGTAAGCCATCAAAACGAGGACGTGTTGTTGTCGCAGACACGTGAAAGGCGTGTGCAATTACAATACATGTTGCTGAGAGGAAGAGACAACGGCAATCGCAGTAATTAAATTAAATGAAATGTATCACAATTTTCAGGCGTTTAAAATAAACAAAGGTGTCTCCCCACTGTGATTAAGACGTTCTTTATTGAACGACAATTGAAAAACTTATGTAAAAAGTGGCATATACCTCTTAACCCCAATGAAATTGCGGAGATAAATTTCTATGCGATTAAATCTGCCTATCAGGGATCACGTTTCACAGGTCAGCGACTTCAATCATCCGCCCATTTTAGAAAAATCATCAAAGGGGGATACTTTCAGAGAGATCAATTGCCTGTCTGCCATCTGGATGGCTTTCGATACTGCCTTTTAAACTCCCCCATTAATCGCTTATTGCCTCGCGGGAGTGCTAATAAGGCAAATTACTTCCTTATGGCGACGCTTTGTTATGCCTGATATTCTTTGTGATCGGATCGCGAAATATGCCCATGCATATTTCATGATGTCCGATCAATTTGGAGGCTTGGTACTTCTTGATGTTCAACTACAGTCTGGCCTCTATAGCTTGAACGTTCATAAAAAACAATCTTTGATAGTTGAAGACACACAAATTATTAAAATTATAATAAATGATCTTGGCAATGTAGTGCACATATTAAATATGATTGAGATTTCAAGTTATAGAACAGTTGTTGATTCCAAAACATTTTAAACTGGTTCTGTGGGATGGCGTTTATAGCTTGCCGTTTATTTATAGAGTTCTAATGCGTAACTATCGGTTGGGAGCGCCTGCCAATTAATATGTTGAGCGCGTGCCAAAAATTTCTCAGGAGTGGACAAAAAGTGGTTCTCTGGGAAAAACTGTCGGACACAGGTTATCAATTATTTGCTAATGCTCAACCTGCACAAATTGGATCTAAATTCGTTTTTTGGCTTATGAATTTCACGTCACGGAGAATCTGGTAGAGCGGCGCGTGCGAATTCGCGTGGCATCGAGCACTGAATGCGAGCACTGTCACTGGCGATGAGCTTCTATTTTCGGCGGACGAGCGACCGATCCGAGTATATATATAAGAGATATAGCTTGGCAGCACTGATGAAGGTGCTACAAAAACCTACAAGATTTACCAAGAACCTACATAGACATTGGTCGAAAATTCAAAACAAAAAACATTTCTTTGGTAAGAAGCAAATAAATAAATTGAAAGTGCATGCTGTATCTATTATTCGTAACAGTTACAATGCAATTTATAGCTTTTATTTTTGACGGTCTGAGTATATGATATATTGCTTGGAAACAATGATTCAATGTGGTTATATTATTTAATGTACAAAGATTGTGTAATGTTGATCATAGCGAAGGGATATAAGACAATGGTTTTATAAATGTAAATATAAGAGTATACCCTCGTAGTCAACTTGAAATGCCTAGATATTGCTTCAAGTAACAGTTTTGTTAAATCACAAATATCAGGTACAATTGGAAATGTGCCTGGGCACTCCCCATCTCAGGTCAAGGGCACACCAGAAAGCGATGTACTGGCCAGGATCGAAGCTTTTTAGCCACAATGCAAGTACATTGTTTACGTGGTATAAACAAGCATTCAGCCAAAGGGAAAGTGCAATGGATGCCGTGCAAACATGTGGCCAGTGGGAGGCGGATGTCATTGGTGGGTCTTAGCGTGTGGGTGGTGCAAACAACGGGTCGATTATTGCCGGGCCCGTATAATTAGCGACCGGGGTCAGACGACCTCGAACTGCAGAAACCAATCAATTATATAATAACGAAAGCGAAGCTCAAGAAGGAAGCTGGACCATGCTTATCATCATCGGATGGTGCTGCGTCACTTATTTCAGCTCCGAATCACTAGAACGATAAGATGACGTTGAACCTTATGCCTGGAATGGGCACTCGAAATGAGGAAGGGGAGTCTTATGTGATCGTAAACATTTGCCTAGCTGCTTGGTGGTACCCCCTACAATAGGAAATATCGAAATGTCAAGACCACAAGAAAACTCACCTCGCTGGGCGACATCGATGACATGCTACTGCTACTTGTCCTAGGGTTATCCGTCCTGATGTTCCTGTCTCTTTTTGCTCCAAGTCCAAGTACTGGCTGTTCCGGTCGGCAGCTATCACACCAGTCTCCTGCGTGGCCGAAATCGTGAGAAAATCGTCGTTTTTAGAGCCTTCTAGGCAAATGTTATTAGAAAAATAAATATCTGAGTGGACAGTGTGACCCTCTGGGCAGTGTTGAAAAACGTCCTCGCATTGCACTCGTACCAACTCAGTACGAAACTAAAAAATACCGCAATCAGCTGAGCTCCGGCGTTAGGTATTTTTATTTTTCTTGTGCTTCTTGTTCGAACGCTCGTCGACAAAAAATTTGATTTTAACAAAACTCTTGTCGATTGACAAGTAGGTCTGATGACTTTTTAAGAACTTTTTAGTAAACTTAAAAATAAAACAGAACTTGGAGCTGGTGTATAAACAGCTGATTCAACACGACATTTTTTATATACAGTGGACAATCGTTAAATGTTTTTTTTTTCAATTTTAAAAAAACTAAAAGTGTTAAAAAATACTAAATAGATGGTTATATGTAACGGCTATGTTTAAAAATAAATTTAAGTATTTGTTTTAAATCAAATTGAACTGCTTAACATATTTGTATATATAACAGCTTTTTGGTACTGAATTATTATTTGTTTATAATTGCATGGTTAATAAACAAATTATTATCTAACAATTGAAAATCATATAAATCTAGGACATCAGCTGTGCTGTGGGTTTATTTTAACCGTGTAACACTGTACCCAACCATAATAAAAACAATGGAAAAGAGCGTTTATTGCACCTTCGATAAGAAGTAGTAGTTTATAATCTGTGGAGGCACGATGGGGAGCGAATTTGACAGGGTGCTGATAAGGTGCAGCTAATATCTACGCGATTACCTTTAAAAACAAGCGCTGCAGCTCACCGCTCTCAGTACCAAATCGCCTTCCATTGGAATTGGTTAATCAAGCCAGAATGCATTTCGGAGTTTTAGGCAGCGGCATTATAGGTCTTACGACCGCCTTGGAACTTCAAAAAGAGTTTCCCACGGCTCGGGTTTCTGTGATTGCGGATCGCTTTAACGAGGATACGGTTAGCTATGTGGCTGCTGGCATCTTTAGACCGGGCACCAGCTTCATGGGCCCCACCCAGGAAATTACGCAGTGAGAATTAGTATTAGGTGTAACTTGAGTTCTCTTTAGTAATCAAGATTTCTTTCCTTAATAGACAGTGGATGACAGATGCCTTCAACTACTGGGATGAGCTGCGTCGCTCTAAGGAGGCGCCTTTGGCTGGCGTGTGCCAATTGTCTGGCTATATCTACTCCCGCACCTCACCCTCCATCGTTCGGGTATGTTACCGGGCAATCGTCTATCAACGATTCTTATCTCACCTCTCAGCTGGATTCGATTAACTTTCTGTTTGCTGCTTTAGAACCACTTTATTGAGAAGCTACTGCCCGTTTACCGAAGGGCCACGGAGGAGGAACTGAAGCTGTGCCACGGCGGCTGGAAGTATGGATCATTCTTCACCACATGCCTTACGGAAAGTCGCCTCTTCCTGCCCTATGCTACAAATAAGTGAGTAGGTTTGGATTCTTTTCGAATTTTAAGAGTATTTTTATCTTAGAACCAAATATTTATTATACGATATTAAAACTCGTATTCCTGAAATTTAGATTCCTGGAGAACGGAGGCGAGGTTGTTCGTCAGCATGTGAAGAACTTTTTCGAGGTGCCACAGAACTTCAACGTGCTGCTCAATTGCACCGGAATGGGAGCTAAAGAGTTGTGCGCAGACCAGCATCTAGTTCCTATCCGAGGACAGGTGCTCAAGGTGCGGGCTCCGTGGGTGAAGACTGCTTTCTACGGCGACTACGATACCTACATCCTGCCTGGATTCGAAACAGTTACTTTGGGAGGATGTCGCCAGTTCGATAGCTACAATACGGAATGGTGCAAGTACGACAGCATGGCCATCCGGGAAAGGTGCTACGACCTTTTGCCTAGCCTTCGGAAGGCGGAGATAGTTCGAGAGTGTGTTGGTCTGCGTCCACACCGCTCTGTGGTGCGGGTGGAACCCGAACTGATTACAAATGTGGAGGGCAAGCGGCTAAAGATTGTCCATAACTATGGACATGGCGGATACGGTGTGACTACGGCTCCTGGAACGGCCAAGTACGCCGTTGGATTGGTTCGTGATCTGCTTGCCGGAAACAGTAAACTGTAGGTGGTAAATTCATTGTTAATTGTTGGTCATTAAAATCTTTATACGTAGAATCTTTGAACCTAGATTTGATTTTGTTTTTATAATGTGCCATTAATTGATACGAGTTCTAAAGGTTGCGGCAAGAGTCAGGGCGCAGGGTTTAAAGAAGGTGTTGTGATTATGGACTTACTTTGTACGTTACCTTTATTAATTTTTACAGAAATATAGAAATCGTAAGTCTCGTTCAAGAAATTCGCTTGAATATGATTTCAAATAACGCGCTCTGCCAGTGTTCCAAAGGGCTCCGAAAAATGGAGTGCGCATGTCCGGCGCATGAATGGAAAGCTCCCCACGAAATCGCCGCAAAAGCTACGCCCACACACGGACACCCAGGCACGGAGACCCATCGATTTTCAGCAGCAGGAAAAGCAGCAGGGAAATTGTGTGGGCAGCAGCAGCCAGTCATCCAGTCAGCTAGCCAGTTAGTCAGTCAGCCAGGTTGAAACAGTTAAATTATGAAAACGTATACAAAACTTGTCCGTATTCGCCGCATCACTCAATTCGCCGCCTGAGAGCGAAGGATTAGAAAAAATTGTGTGTCCTTTGGTGTCGACGTGTCGAAGCGAAAAGGTAAAACAGTTGGTGCGTTGCATTTGCTAAATATCTAAACCACTGCAGCCAGTAAAATCCTGGCCAGACGAGTGGGTCGCGGACGTGTGAATAATTGATTGGGTAACCGTAAACAAATCGACAAATCAATTGACGCGAAATCGCGGCGTATGTCAGTCCAGTGCCAAGGCTGAGTCGAGTCCTTTTCCTTTTCCCCCAGTGAAAGGAGCCTGCCATTATCGATTTGTGTGTATTTGTATGTGCGAGCAACAACACTGCGGACCTCTCACCCACACGTCGAAAGCAGCAGGATATTCTTGTGGCAGTAGGATCTGCAGCAGCAGTAATAGCAACTAAAACATTAGCAACTGCAATATCTGCAGTAGCAACAACAGCAACCGCAGCAACCTCAAGACAAAGTAAGTGCATTTGACATATTAGGTATACGCCATGTGTGACCATTAGCAAGGAATTGGGGGTGCTATTTCAGTCGTTACAACGCAAAAATTTAAATATTGTCATTTTAAATAATCCTAATTCGTAAAGATTTAGTAAATTAATACCTTACAGTTCGTTTAGTTGAATATTTGTATTTATTTTGTTAGGTGTAATACTTGGGAAGTAGTTCAAATTACTTCTGTCACATGCGGGTTTCGGTTTGTTATCTTATTGACAGTAGATATCAGTTAAATATGGAAAAAGAGTATAACGTAAAATTAAAACTAGAAACTAGAAGCTATACAATATTTTTAGGCAGACTCAAGTTCGTAATCCTGAATATAGAAAGTATATAAAGTTCGAAAAATATGAACAATATCCACCATTTCTTACCAACTACAAGTTTTGATATTTAGTTTATTTAACCAACGAAAGTCAACTAAACGGTAATCAAAATCTTTGAATTGCCAAAGTATAGACTTAACTTTGGTTATTTCCCTTTGAAAATTGTCTAATAGAATCTATTATAGAAGCCAGGATTGAGCTCAGTTTTTTTTGCCAATATTGGGTTTCTTATCAATAATTAAACTAGCCCGCAGCTGCTGTCCGTTCAACAGCTGCCTAATCATTGGAAATTTGAAACATGAAAGAGCAGTTAAGGGGGTGGGAAATGTGGGGGCTTTAGCAGCCACCCCCACGCAGAGGGAAAAACAACAGAAAAAATCGATAATTACACGCAGCCGAGCAGATAAAAACATTTCCACACGCCGCCTCTGATAAGAGCCCGTCTGCCGTTTGAAGACCTCTTATTTCTGTCCCTTACTTCTGGGTTTGGGCCCCTCCAGTATATTTCTGGGTCTGAAGAGGCTTGACAGGAGCGAAGCCTGTCCTTTTGCCAGCAAAATCCTTGACGACGCGCGCACTCGGTCCTTTTCCACCAAGTCGTTCATCAGCAATCTGACAGCATTTTGCCGCTGCGCAACTTTTGATTCTTGGAGGCGGGGACTGTGGAATTGCGGGAATAAGGATGAGCTGAAACGGAAGCAGGAGTTGGCTATATACACAAATTATCGACACAATGTCGCTGCCTTGCATATGGAAAATAAGCCACAAGGCACCCAACTATCCTGAATGGCAAACTGTAAGCCGAGACCGTTGTCACTTACTTGGCCAAACCAAGGCTGAAAGTTTTCAAGGCCGTACAAGCCCACTCCGCCACCCAGCAGTTCCTCTTTGAGTTTTCCCAGTGACGTGACAGGGATAATCAAGTGGGTCCTTCCCCAAACCACGCCACAATAGCCTGTTTCCCCTACCCATGGGTTAAAAGTCAAGGGGACTGGTGGTTATGCTTCAGAAAATATAAACGCAACTTGTTTAATCCACGCGCACGCGATTCAATTGGTTATCCGGCACACAAAGATGAGCAGTTGGCCCCCAGTTGGCCTTGACCGGTGTTTCATGATTTCCATCTCATCTTACAAGTTCTTCGTGCCCCTTGGACGATAAACGGAGTGTCTATGGATGACAGAATAGTTGATAATGTTCTATTCAACCATCTCGAGGCGTAACCCGATGTTGACGCCATCGCCCACGCCGCAAATGGCATCAGCCTTGCAGCCATTTTGGCTACCAATGCCCAATCCCATTCCTACTCCACTCATCATTAGCTCATCCGGAGTATCCAGCTGGATGCTACACTTGGAATTCGAATCGTTGCCACTGTTAAAAATCACAATACCTGGATTGCGATGAGAACTCTGACTGGGATTGAGACCAGATGTGGGAATAATCACGGGCTTTTGAGGTGGCTGCTCCTGTTCTCGGGGCGAATCCTTGCGCATCAGCGTGGTCATGCAAATGCTGGTGTTGCTGCTACTAGTAATTATGGTCGTGGTATCGATGGTCTCTACCAACTCATCCTCGGCAGCAAGGATTTCCGCTTCATGTTCTTGCTCCCGCTGCCTTTCAAGTTCTCGTTCCCGTTGCCGCTCCAATTCACGCTGCACTTCCAGTTGCTGCTCGCGCTCTAGGCGTTCCTCCTCCTGATCCTCTTGAGCCTGCTGCTGGCACAGCTCCACATGCATTCTAGCTAACTGGGCGGCATCATATGGACAAAAGCAGTTCAGGCTCACCACTCTGTTACCCATATGCTGGACTGGTCGGCAGTTACGGGCTATTGGCGAAATCTTGTCCGGTCCGAGAAGCAAACGGAAGTGACGCAGTTGGAAATCACTGATGGCCACAGATTCAGGGAAGATGAACCACTCGGTGCCCTGGTAGCATGGAGGGTGGGTCAGGGAACCGCCATAGGAGTAGAATCCAGTGCGAAATGGATACATCAAGTACGATAAAGGAAAAGGTGGGACTTGCACCCGTTTTCCCGGCTGCTGGACCAATCGTAAGTTCTGCACCAGTGGATCCAGGAATGGATTGTGGGCGGATAGCTCAAAAACATACCCAATCATCAGGAGATCATAGCTACTAGTGCACGACCTGGGTATTCCCGATCCAGCTCGGTGCATCACCTGCATCTCTAGGGGAAACTTTCGGTGGTTTATAGTGTGCTCTGATCCCTCGCTGTTGCACCATCCCCAATGGAAGCGCAGCTCCAAAAACGTATAGCAAGCCAGCAAATCTGCCCCACTGATGGTTGGTGCATTACCATGGAACTGAGCACGTAGAATCAGCGTATGGCCAGTATTCTCCAGCTGGATGCTGGCGGGCAGATCATCATAGTGGTTCCAACTCAGGAGCTCCCTGATGGCCAAGCGTTGAATTTGGTTCTCATCGATGTTGATTGGACTTTGGAAGCTTGTTTCTTCCTCCAGAGAATGAGTAGATGAATCTGGTTTTGGTAACCAGGTGTGTGGACCATGGTCCATATCGTAACCATACCCTGAAGTAGGATCACTTGAGCTAAAGATACTTCCAAATCGCTGTGGCAGCCACATGCAAACAATTACGCGTTGATAGGCTTCTTTGAGCGTTTCTTGATCCGCGTGGTATACGAATCCTGCCAGCAAGCAAAGTCCAGTCGCAATCAATGGATGTTGGACTATTTGTCCTAGGATCTGGCCAATTATCAGGCAAATCAATTGTGCCATCAGGCCCAATAAAGTGCCCAATGTGGTGTCAAACATTTTGGGGCTAAGAGATCCGGACTTACATCGGGTGCTTCTAGTGCAGGGTAGAAAACAATCTGCAAATGCAGTAACGTGCCAAACAACGAACACGAAAAACAAAACTTTCAGTTTCCTTTAGATTTCCAATCTATTTTTTCGATGCTTTCCGGGTCGTATACGAGGGTGTTTATGTGACTGAGTTGTGATGGGTTCTACTGTCTTGACATATATACAAAGTGACGGATAATTCTAGACTACTACTCAAATTTGTTATAAATTATTAAGTCTAAATATCTTATTATCTTTGATTTGGTCTACTCCATGCAGCACCACTCTAAACATACATAATGGCGAGTGGCGGAGATCCCAAGTGGCAGAAGGATGCAGCCGACCAGAACTTCGACTACATGTTCAAGCTGCTCATCATCGGCAACTCCAGCGTGGGCAAGACCAGTTTCCTCTTCCGCTACGCCGATGATAGCTTTACATCCGCCTTCGTCTCCACGGTGGGCATTGACTTCAAGGTGAAGACCGTCTTTCGGCACGACAAGCGCGTTAAGCTCCAGATCTGGGTAAGTAGTATTGTAGGTTATATATTCGGGTCGCACAATGTGCTGTCTAATTTTATGGGCACTTAGGATATGTGTAGAACTTGTTTGACCTCGATTAGTTTTATGGGGGCGAATGAATCATCCGGAGGAGAGCATTAAACCGGAAAGCTGAGACATTGATTTATTGATTGGGCATCGTCACGACTAGATGCGCAGGTGAGCGGCCTCTCGAGAGTCCTTGTCGTGCGATGCCGGTCTCGTTTTCAATCATCAATTAAGAGAAACTAATCAATTAAGAGATTACAGTAGGGACTGCTTATACATATTATGGTTTATGGTGTTAATCACTGTTTATGGTTGATTAATTTCAAACATAAAATTTAATCTTATTTTGTATTATGTGCCTTAACTCAACGTATTTAATCCTTTTTAGGACACTGCTGGACAGGAGCGGTACCGTACTATTACCACAGCCTACTATCGTGGAGCGATGGGTTTCATCCTGATGTACGACGTTACTAACGAGGACAGTTTTAATTCGGTGCAAGATTGGTAAGTGTTTATAAATCTAAATCACTAGAATCACAATTCGTAACATGTTTGCTATACCAAAGGGTAACACAGATCAAAACCTATTCGTGGGACAATGCCCAGGTGATTCTGGTGGGCAACAAGTGCGATATGGAAGACCAGCGTGTGATCAGCTTTGAACGTGGTCGTCAGTTGGCTGATCAATTGGGCGTAGAATTCTTCGAGACGTCTGCTAAGGAGAACGTTAATGTCAAGGTGAGTAAGAATTTCTTAAGACCCTCAAGATTACCTGATAAATTCTTCGACTTTCAGGCTGTGTTCGAACGCTTAGTGGACATCATATGCGACAAGATGTCCGAGAGTCTGGACGCAGATCCAACGTTAGTGGGCGGTGGGCAGAAGGGACAGAGGCTGACGGATCAGCCGCAAGGCACGCCCAATGCCAACTGCAACTGTTAGAGACCCGATAAGGGAGGATTGGAGGACAGGAGGATCCTGCAGCACCACAACAAACCACATTCGTAACAACCATAGACAACAGAATTTGAAAACTAGCTAATTAGTCAGCATTGAACAGGGGATTGCAGCAAATCCTTCAGTAAGCCGATGATGACGGTTCGGATATCGATGAAAAGATAATGATGATATAGTCGTGCATGCCCCTAACTGAGGGGGTGTGGCACAGTGTTTATATCGATATGTGTATGTATATCCTTTGCGTTCGCTCGCCTCAGTGTAAATGTCAAATGTTATTTAATCCGATGTTTGAATTGTAATTTGTAACTTGTAACTGGTAATTTGTAATTGGTAATTTGTAACCTGTAATTTAATTGGCTGGCCGAAGTGAGGCAACATTTGTTGAGTGTGTAAATTGTGTTGAATTTTATTCGAATTGAGAGATCGATATCGAGATCAGGAAATTGAAAAAGAGCAAAGAATTTAACGAAAGTCCGATTTGACGGTGATTCGGCACTAATTAAGCATGCACCCCCGAGTGCTGATTAAAGTCATTTGATTAGCGACCCCAACATATGGCGGTCCAGAGGTCAGGAGGTCAGTCAGCACGAGTATTTCGAACCGTTCTCCACATCCACATGTATATACGCTGGCTAAACTGTACAGTTTGAGATGCTTGACGAAACGCACAAAGCTAGCGAATCGGTGAAATCGAACAGACAACTAACTATATAGTACACCACCCTCCCACTCACACAAACACACACGCCCATGTATATGTATGGATACACAACAAAGCAAAGAGCACTGAAAACAAATACACACACACACACACAAACAAACACACACCGGAAACGGATATAGTTAAAACCCAAATCCCTGGCTTGGAGCATTCTAGCAAACACAAAACAAAACCCGGCTGAGTGGTAAGCCGTTATTATTAAATATTATGATTATTATTATTATGTACGTATGTATTTATGTAGTGAAATGGAAAATTTTAATGTGTTGCAAATGATAAAAGAAATATATACAACAAATATACATGTATCGTATAGAGAACTACCCAGACCCAGAGCTACATAGAGGTAATCGCAGTTTTCTGTTACCCGGAAACCCTATTGAACACCTTCCGAAGGCCAGAGTGACAATAACCCGCAGGAGATCAGGAGCACTGAGATCCCCTCCCCCTCGAGGTCAGGCAACCCACATTAAGTTCTGCCCCCCACGGTCTTCTTTTTTTTTTTTATTTCCCTTTCGAGACTGTTGCGAACTGAATCCGGATTGCGATTTACTTAAACCCACCGAGCCAGCTGAGAGATCGGTGCATTTAATTTGCCAGCCCCTCCCAGAACACCCTAAACTCACCTCCCGTTTTATATGCACACACCACCCACTTTTTCTACCTGTATACTATATAGTATATAATATACAAGGCTTTCCTTTGTTAACGCTTTAATGACACAACAAACCGCTGCCGTGACTAAATTTGAACGAAGATTATAAAAAAAAAAGCGGGGACAAGGACTTTGACTTTGGGGGCTAAAACTGCTGAATCTGAATATGTAACTAATATATATATAAATATATATATACATATGTATTTGCCAATGCTCGTTAATGTTAAATATGTGTACAAGCAGAGTTTCACTTGAATTACGATTAAATTAAAGGCATATCGCTGTATTATAAATACCCAAAAACGAAGACAAAACGAAACGAAACGTAAAACCAAACCCGCAAAAACCCAGGAAAAATTTGCCAGGAAAATCCACACGAAATGCACAACGAGTTGCTAAGTGCCAGAGAGGGAACGAGGGGATGGGAGCTGGGATCTAGGAAAGATATGGGAAATGATTCTATACGAAAATGCCTTAAACCAGCGAAATAGATCGCTGATTGGTCTTTTTGGCATTCGAACTGTTTTGTAAAATAATTAATCATACAACTTGCATAACCACTCCTTCAAGTATTTGTCTTTGTATTCGTGTGTGGATTCGCTTTTAGTCAAGTCCCAATTAAATAATCCAAACCAATTAAACTAAACCGAACTAAAACTAAAGCTAAAACTAAAAACTAATACTAGTCCGGAGTAAAATCAAAGCAAATAATACAAAGGTAAACGAGAAACAATTGTTGATGAATTTGTGCATAGGCATAACGCAAACATTTTTGCGCTACATTGTTGTCATTTAAACCAATACTTAGCATATTGATTATTGCATTGTGTACTCAGCTAAACCAAATATTTGTAAACCCTATGAAAACAATTCCAGCTCCAGAAACACAATGGCATTATTTGTATTCCATTTGAATTGCAACAAGAATAACCCAACTAGGAAATGTATACAAGAATGTCAAAAATAAAAAATAATTCAATATATTATTCAATGATGGTTTTTAAACACTAACACACATCTGCATACCCGTACTTATGAGGATACTAACATAGTTATACAGATACACACATATATACATAATATACACATAATGGTATTGAAATTATTGTATTCCCATAATAAAATATATGCAAAAGGTGTATGGAAAAACAAAGAATTTAAATGCGTTTTTCTCTTTTTTCAAAAACTTTAAAATGGTAATCAATTTTAAAATGTTCTTTAAACAAGAATATTTATTTTGGGGGAAAATTTTATATATAAAAGATGTCAAAGAGCCAAACATAAGAGCTACCCAAGTTATAAATCCATTTAATCTTCGCTCTAAACCAAGTCTCTTAGCTCTTAGTTAAAAAAGATTTATTTATTTGCAAATGGAAGCTCCATAAATGTTTAATGTGTGTTCTGATTAAAGTCTTTCAGTTGAAATTTAGGAGGTCATAAATGCTTTATGATGCTTTTTGCGAAAAGTTTAGTAGAAGCTATACGTTTTCCTATTTGCCAAAGAGTACAAATTTATTAATACAAACCAACCAGCGGACCTTAAAAATTGAAAAACATAGTTGTTATTTTTTCTCCATATATTTTACACAATTTATTCATATTGATATACTTGTATAATTTACAATTAAATAAGTCAATTCACATAAATATCATATAATGTGGGCCACATTCAAGCGCAATTCATAGCTTACGTAGAGGCCACAATGAGTGGCAGTTGAGTGGAGTTCAAAATACAGTAAGTTCCGCTTATGAATTATTTATAAATTGTACACAGTTTTCAGGGACATGAGTGGCTATTGCTGAGTCGGGGATCAAACTGTTGAGCGAGCTTTCCTGTAGCAAGGAATTTGATATTATAGACAGATATATATATATTTATATATATATATGTAAACGAGTATATATATTGCTGGATATGTCGATGCTGCGCTTGTATCTTTCTATATATATATATACTATATTTCCCATAAATACGTGCTGGGGTGTCCTGAATTCTGTTTTATTTTCTTGTGTGTATTCGGTTTTTATTGTACATTCGCAACGTTTCGTACGGTTAGTAAATGCTATCAATTAAAACTAACTCCCAAAAACTATAAATGGCAACGTGTGCGGATGCTAGGCAAATGAATTGCAAACTTTTCGCAGATTATTTTTCATTTACAAGTTCCCCATTTCGACTTCAACTAATTTGGCATAATAAGCTCGAGGCACACAACGTTCTCCTACCTTAGACTTTGTTTACTTGCAGTTTGCTCTAACTAATGACGCAGTGAGACCCCTATATCCACTTCTATCTCATTCCGAATCTATATCGGTACTAGGACATATCTGGACATATGTTAATTGGACCTAAATGCATGAATGTATGTATGCGTGTGTGTGTGTATGTAGGGCTTAAATTTAATAGCAGAACGTAAAATGCATAAAATCAGTCTGACTCTTGTTTTAATACATAATTATATATTGTAATTTATAATAGATACACAAGGCTAAAGCTGAGTATTTCTGTGTGTCTGTCAGTGTGTGCATACGAATTATGCAATTTCCAAACGAAATGCAAACTGGCGCTCTAAATTATGTAAATGCTAAGGGATCGTATAAATAATTATGCCCATCATATTCGTACGAAAAAATGTGGGTATACTAAGCTGTATTTACGTAAAATTAAGTGGGTGCGTGTATGTACAAAGTTTCAATGATGGACATGGACCTATGGCAGGTGCTCCACAAAGTATGCTATGGATTTTAGCGAAGGACCTCAATCCTCCGTGTGAACCCTATACTGCGGCTTGCGTCTAATGGTGGCAAAATATTGCGTTTGCTTTTGCTGTTTGGTGCGTTGTTGCTGCAATTGTTGCAGATGTTGTTGCTGTTTCTGCTTTTGCTTCTGCCTTTGTTGCAGCTTCAATTGTTGCTGCTGCTGCTGCTGTTGCTGTTGCTGGGACAGTCGTCACACTGTGGTCTCGTCGTCATCAATATTCCGCCTGTTTGCGACAGAAAATTGCCATTAGTGGGTCTGAAATCGGCTTATGCTGTAGGTATATATACCATATATTTCTATATTTCCATCTACGCTACACTAATTTACGTGCTCCACTACGACGTGCTACATTTTGATAAGTTTCAATTTGTGGCATGCCACTGAGACTCATAAATTGCATGCGAATACGTGTTAAATGTATAGTTTGGGTTCAGGCAAAAACATAATTTATGCAACTAAATTATCAAAGTGAAAAAATAATCATAAATTTTACGTGTTAGTGTGTGTCAGTGCGTTGGTATTTCAGGTACTTTGTGTTTTTGTGAGAGGTGTTTAAATGTGGTTAAGTTTATTTGGCCAGAACCCAGTTAATTTGACAAAAGTTATTTAAGTGTTAATGGACTTTGGGGGTTTTTCGGTTAAATCATAAACATTATTGGGCGCCAATGTTATTGGGTCAATTGTTTTTCACTCATATTTATATGAAAATGGGTTGGTAGTTAATTTTGATGCGATCAATCCGAATTCGACCTTGAGACTTGAGAGTAAAATCGATTTTTATTAATCTCTCTACATCTTAAGGCGGGATTCCGATTTAGCTCACCACAAGTTATAGAATTACCTACTATCTTTCAGTTTATATAATATTAAATAAAAGCTAATTATGTATAATAACTAAAGGGGACTTTGTTTTAAGGCAATATTTGACTTTGATTTGGTTATTGACTCTTTTGCTAGTTAATTTCGTCACTCTGATTGCATTTATTGAGTAGCTTTTAGTTGGGCAACTTTATTTTTAACTAAGACTAACTGGGGGCTAACTAAGATTGTCCTTTTTACTCATTATACCATATCGTTAGCGACCAGGGATACTGTTGCCTCTGTTGCCTGCGATGCAGCCAAATAATGTCGAACTGTGGAGATGTTCAGGTTCAGATGTTTGTTTATAAAGTCTGTTTTTGTAGAGGGTGTACGATTGTGTGTGAGTGGGTGTGGGAATGGCGGGGCATGATGGATTGATGTATACATTTGTTAGATGGGAATTAATAAATGTCATAAATGCGTAAATTCAATATTACACGTTCCAATTAAATGCAGCACGAAATTCGAACATTCGGATTACAAATTAGAAAGTGAGAAATTCAACTGATTTGATTAATCAAACTAATGAACAAACAAACATTCAGAGGGCGGCAACGGGGGCCAAACGAAACAAAAAATCAATATTTTATATTTACATTCAATTTAAAATGGTCAAATCAAATTAAAACGGGTGCATTTTGGAATTAGTTAAAGAGCTCCAATTCGACAAAATCGGATCGAATCACTTTTATGCACACTCGAGCTACGGAAACTGAACAGAAAAAGTAACCAAAGACGATGATGAAAAGTGGAAAATGGGAAATGTGATGTGCGATTTGAAAATGCATTTTACTTGTGGTTTACCTCTGAGCTGTAGTTGTTGTTGTTGTTGTAGTAGTAGTAGTAGTTGGAGTTGGAGTTGTAGTTGTGTGGTTGTTGTTGATGTTGTTTGATTTGGTTGGGTTTTTGGGTGTTGGATGGATGGAACACGAGCCGCCATAGCATTTTGCATTACGTTGAATTTCATTTTGCAGTTGGATTTCATTTTTTTATCGTTTATAATTGTGTGTTTGCGGTATGCGTATATGTGTGTGTGTGTGTGTGTGTCAGTGTGTTTAGGTTTAGTTTTCAAAGAGCAAAAGAGAGAGAAAGAGTGAAAGCACGATATTGGAGAGAATAGAAGTGAAAGATAGTCAAATTAGATTTGCTTCAAACGTTCCCAGGACCAGCTGAAAGGATATGGACATGTACACGTATAGAAAGATGTATATGAATGTGGGCAAGAGTGTGTTTGTGTAAGCGTGCATGTGAGTGAGTGTGAGTGTGTGTATGTAAAAGAGTTTGTACCATATTCATTTGCATTGTTTTCAGTTTTCATTGTTGTGGGAAAAAGTTGAATGGTACAAAAGGGTTTATGTCATTGTAGTTGTTGATTCGAATGCCATAAAGAAAAGAGAATCAGAAACAAAGGACCACAGATTAATTGCTGGAATCAAAAATAGAGAACGAACAGGAGTTCTCGAACCAAAACTAATCATCTAGGCCAACAGAAAAACTGAAAATCAACAGACAGGATGGGCTGCACATGGAGTACAAGAAGCATTAACCGGCCACCAGGACCACAACGAAACTGAAACCAAAACCAAAACCTATGCCGAAGCCAACAAAAGCAGGCATGTCACAGAAATCTCCCAAAACCGAATGTTAAACATGGTGCCAGAGCTAGATCTTAGAAATTTGTCAGATGTTTTGACCACTAATCTATGGGTAAACGGATACCAGAGACCTGAGACTTCTGTGACAGCCTAGGTGGGGAAATCTTTCTGATTCTTTTTCGGGAACTCACTCAGTATCCGTGATGCTGGTCAGTGGCCCCAGCGGCTGCATGGGTGCCACCATAGTGGATGGCGGTGATGAGGCTCTGGAACTGTGTCGGGAACCTCCGTTCATGGGGTGCCGTCCTATTAAGCCCGGATTGTTCACATCGTTAACAAGACCCATGCTAGGTGGCTGCATCAGCTGAGATCCGTGAAGCGAAGGCGGTTGCGTGTGGCTAAGCTTTCTGGCGGGCAGGTGGTCCTCCTCGGCGGTGTAGGGAAAGTGATAGCCATTCTTATCCGAACCCTCGGACAGTCTATCCTGCAAATGGTGTTGCTGATGCTGTTGCTGCTGCTGCTGCTGCTGCTGTTGCTGGTGGTAATCATTTTTCAGCAGCGAGTGTACTGAGTGCAGGGAATCCGTTGCATACGTCGGCTGCCTCTTAAGGCTATAGTGACCGTCTCTGGACCCATAGATATCCGGTGTAATGCGATCTTTGGATAGGTAAGGTGACTCTGATTTGGCACCCAAGTAGCCACTTCCCAGTGTTCGCTGCTTGTCGTATATATTGTCACTCAAATACGCCGCATCCGGGTGGAAACTTCTCATATGACCAATAGTCTGAGAGCCACTTCCTCCACCGGGATAATCCTTTTCGCTGCCATAGTGACTGGGTGGCTTGTAGGAGCCATACTTATCCGGATACTCTCCCCTCCGCCCGTACAGACTGTCCTCATAGCCATCTCGGGCATCTCGAATATTTTCCAGGATCGAGGGTGGCATATTTATCTTATTATGGTGCTGCTGCAGGTAACTGGTATCTGTAAGATCTGGATTGGGCAGGGGATTAGGCGAGATGGTCATCTTAGCCTGACCATGAACATGTTCATTATCGGATCCCGTGTCCTGAGACCATCGTCCAATATTCGGAGGCGATTGGAGATACGCATCTGGCAGCTGACTGGACCAACGGGGTGCATAAACTGGTTTACTGACGCTCGGGAAGAGCTGAGGACTCTGCACGACATTCAGTTCTGGCGGAGTGGTGGCTTGAACGTGCTCTGTGATGTTGGGCAGATAGGCGGGTGTTGAACTTACAGCTGTGCTGCGATGTGTTCCAGATGATCGCGCTGTGCGAGATTCGTCATCATCGCTGGAGTGACTACTGGCTAGTTCCAGGGATCTTCCGTCTGTTTCGGAACCAGAATCTGAATCTTTTCTCTGTCTACGCGATGGCTTCTCCTCACCACCTCTGCTCCTTCCGGTTGTGGAGGATTCGAAGCCTCTTAAGAAACTGGGAGCATCGCTGGCTGAATTGTAATTTGACGTCGATGTGGAGGTCTGTCTCAGCTGTCCATCGCTATATGGACTCGAACTTGTCTTGGCAGTACTTCTCGAGGTAGTACTACTAGCGCTTATGCCAATATTCCGTCTGGTAGTGGTGTCATATCCACCTGCCAGGAAGTTATTTGGTCTTGCGGCTCCATTTACGTTATGAGAGCTATTGCTGACCACCATGGAGGAATCCAAAAGGGGCACTTTGCGGCCCATGCAGCGCAGGCAGGTGCGTTGGAGGTTCTCCCTGACCCGCTTGTTAATGATGCAATATCCAATTAGGCAGAAGAGAGCATGTAGGAGCACAACGCCAGAGAGCAATAGGCTCAGCAGTTGGGAGTGCTCCGAAGCGGCGAGCACTGCCAGGACCCACATGACACCCATCAAAGGAAGCGACACCACTGACAGCCAGAGAAGAGTTCGTAAGTTACCAAATCCGAGGACATGATCCTTTAGGGTAAACGCGGCCTTCACGGAGACGAACAGGATGAGCAGGTTCACCACCGACATGCCCGCAATTGGACCCACCAGCCACCACACCACGGGCTCGTAGACAGACAGCCAGCAGCTGAAAAAGGGATGTTAAATATAAATTAAAAATCTTTTAATATTAGGGATAAAGAATACTCACAATAAGCTATTGCCATACTCATGAGCCCGAACTCCCACAGAGAGTCCAACGACGATGGCTGGAGCGCCATAGCCCATGGCAAAGTAGAATCCCATGGGTCCGTGGTTGATGTCCCGCATCTCGGTAAGCATCCTGTACAGATGGACGCAGTCCACCGTTGTCCAAGCAAAAGCAGCCAACCAGAAGTAGTGAAGGCAGATGGCCGTCAGTTTGCAGGGGAATTCGCTCTCCAAAAGCTGCCGACGCGATTGCATTCCCACGAAGAAAAGAAGCTCGGCGCAGAAGACACAAAGTACGATGTTCTGGTGAATGGTATTTGAGTTTGTCTGTTGACCACGTAGAAGGGCCAAAGCCAGCAATACTCCCAACAGCAAAGGAAGTGAGACCAGAAAGGCAGAGTACGAGGTAATCTGCACTAAGAGTGAAGGTTCCGGGATATCCTCCGGATCAATTACATCCACAATAACCGCATAGCTAGAAATATGGGTGCAGCTGCAGTTCACCAGGATCACTTGCTGTGCTGCCGGATTGAAATCTCCGTCGAAGTCGGGAATCTCCGTTTGGCAACCCAATCGGGTCCACTGATTGGTGAAAGAGTTCCAGCGGACGCACTGTGGGTTAGAGCGAGGTCCAAAACGGGCGGAATCCACATCTAGCCACATCTGTAGTTTTATGGGTTGAGCCAGATGAGGTGAACCCAAGGATCGATAGACCACTTGTTCCGATTGTTCCATTTGTTCTGATGGATATGTGACCTCTATCTGTCTCTTGACCAAACGGCGATCTCTGTAAACCGCTTCGTTCTCACCCTTTGGCTGCTCAGCACTTCCTGTGGAGCTAACACCTTCATAATTCGGATTGAGCACCTCAGGAGAATCTGGAGAAATGATTTCCTCCCCGGAGTTGCCATGGAACTCAATGTCATCAAGGTTCAGGCGAATGTGTGGCTCCCTCTCGTCGCCATCTTCGTTACTTGAAGCCTCCAGTTGTTCTCCAGATGAAACCGGCGGTGGAATTTCATGGGCTGTTATCCGAATATCCTCAATCTGTTGTTCACTACTGCTAGTGGGTGCTTTTGGTACATCGAACACCTCAACAAACTGTTGCTCAGTACTTCCTGATGAAGACGTTGAAGATGAAGAGATCTTCCTAGATGGGATCTCCATTCTTTGGGTTTCCTGTTCTTTTTCCATTGATGGTACAAGAATCTGGAGGGAGAGAATAGGTGTAGCCAATTCCACATCCACTCCCCAACGACGGGTTATGGTCTCATCATAAAGATCGGGCAGCAGCTGACCCACATCTTTGTACTGCGCATACGCCACAATCGCTCTGTGGTCATGACTACCTCTTCGTCCACTCATTGATACCTCATTGCTTTCCGGGGGAGTAATTCCGAGCATCTCCAGTGGAACCAGCACCTTGGTGTGCTGATCAAACTTTCGGCGATCCAAGATGTAATTGTTGTACTTAGGGAAACTAATCACTGGTCGCTGGCGGGCTGAATGCTGCAAGAAGCCACTGGTATCAGGCAGCACCACACTCTCCGTAGTAAAGGCATTTGGCTTGAGGTACTTGCTCCGGTGGTATTCACTCAGCTGCTCCGGCTCATAGCCAAATAGAGATTCCGTGGTGACTATATCCAAGCCCAGAGCCATGTTGGGTTGTACGATTTCAAAAGGACTGGTGTAAGTGTCGTGCTGCGAGCGAGCTAGGACCACAAGGTACTTGTTAAAGGCATCAACCAGATCGTCCGGTCCTCTCTGAATAAGTTCCGTGGCCCTTCGCCATTCCGACTCGTATTTTCGATCTAAAATAACACTGGCTGCATCCACCAAGTTCTTGATGAAGTACTTATCTTGACTGTGGGATAAATTCAGACCGCTCTGCATGAGTTCGTAGTTAATCAGCTCTTGTAAAAGACCCTCTGTTACCAAAAGATCTGCGCCGTATAGACGATCATGGGTGAACTTCAGTTCATCTGACAGATAGTCCATCTCGAGTTCATGCGACCAGACATTTCCGCCATTGCTCAGCAGGAAAGATGATTCCATTTTGTAGCGTCTATTAGGGCGTCCAATACCTGGGGTCTTCGGATCCTTGCTGGCACCCCTTCTATCCACCGTCTCACAAGATTTCCTGAGTTGCTCTGCCATTTTGATGGCCACAAAAGAGTTAAGCTCCAGTTCGAGTTTCTCCAATTGGGATAGCTGGCGTCGCAGCTCAACAAATGGCTCCGAGGTGCAGTTGTACATGTCTGGAGTGTTCCAACTTCCAGATTGAGCATCGCAGCTGCGTTGCCCTTTTCCCCGAGCTGGCGCAGGACATCCCTCTATGGCCACTCCGCCTAGAGGAGTACGCGGCCACCAGACCCCACCGGCAAAGGATCGCGGACAGGCATCGTAGACCACTTCGCAGCCACTGAGGGTAACCTCTGCATAGGGATTTGAGCAGGAGTCACATCTCCGCCCAATCACTCCCTCTCGGCACTCGCATTGTCCTGTCAGCGGGTTGCAGGCTCCACTAAAGCTTCCGATGGAGTAGCAATCGCAGGAGAGGCAGGCGGTCTCGTTTGGCGGTTGGTAATGATTCGTTTTGCAGTAGCACTGGCCAGTAGTTTTGTTGCAGTCTGGGTGGTACCCTTGGGCCAAATCGCATCTACATGGGCCGCATACACGCTCTCCCCACCACCCTCCGGGACATGGTTGTTGAAGTTCCCTTTCACAGTAATCCCCATGTCGGGAACTGCTGTTGCATTCGCATCCGTAACCACGGGATAAAGTAGTGTTTGCCCTGCAGACTCCAGAGGCACAGGGTCTCACCGTACAGATAGGAGAACAGTCTGCTCCCACGAATCCTGAGTCACACTCACAGGTGGCCAGATCCCAAGTGCTTTCGCAAGAGGAATGATTGGGGCAATGATCTGGACATTGGGCACGTGATTCGCAGCCGTCTTCCACGTTCTCCCGAATAGTTGGTCGTGATAGAACCGATTGACCTGCACCAATACGCACATCTTGGATGCAACCCTCAAAGGGAGAGGCTTCAGGAACTGATCCAATGCTGCCATCTGGGCTACCCATCACTATCTTACCCACATACAAGCCTTGAACCTTTTGTGACATGGGCACTGAACCAGAACGTTGTCCGTAGTCCACAGAGAAGTGGATTTCTGAGCCCTGCTGCCAGCGAATTTCCACTCTATGCCACTCACCATCTGAGAGAAAGGCTCCTGCCAAATACATGGGTTCTCCATCGAAGATATAGTACAGTACACCTTGCCTCAAGCAAACCGCCGCTGAACTATTCTGTCCTATTTGAATTTGGATGAGGAAAGCCTCTTTCTGGCGCGTTCGTAGTGAGAAGGAAGTGGTCCATGGCAGTTGAATAGGTCGCAGGAGTGGATTGAAGCTGAGACTTCCATCTCCGGAGAAGCGCCAAGGAGCAGGTATGTTATCCTGGCAGCTATTTCCCGCATATCCTTCGGGACATTCACAGGAATACGTTCCCCATCCTTCATGGCAGGTGCCACCATTGAAACAGGGCTCAGATTGACACAGAGGAGCCTTTTGAGGGCAACCTGCCAAAGTTCCATTATCTGCCACATATGAGTTGAGATCAATAAATCGATCATCGATACGAAGATCCGAGATACATCCAACAAAATCACGATTAGCCACTGGAAAGTGGGCTGGAATGCGAGGAAGTCCACCCACTTGCAAGGGTCCTGTGAGATCCAAGAAACGATGACAAGTCTCCGTGAGCAACGAACATCTTTTGTCCAATTTCAAAGTAGTACGATTAGCGCAGTTCCACCTATCACCCAATTGTCCCGAAAGAGCAATGGCTGTGTCACAATTATCCAGCACCAAGGTGACACTGCGGTTTAGATACACTACCTCCACCTGGTGCCATTTTCCATCGGATACCTTAGCCTCTTGGATCACCGATACCCTTTCACTATGATCTCCTAAAGAGAAGGAGAAGCTCACATGTCCTTCATGGATCTCTAAAGCAACGAAGTCGTGTAACTCATTGTATCTTCCGTTGTAGAGGAGCAATCCATTCTCCTGAACGGTGGCAAAGCGGAGCTTAAGATTAAAGCGATGCCTTTGTTTCAGACTTTCAAAGGTCAGGAAGGAGTTGCGTCCAAAGGCACGGGCTCGTAACTCACAGGTTGATGTATAAGGAGGGGGTTGGGAGCTTGGATAATTGCTTAGGCAGGACAGTCCACCCTCGCATGTATCGGAAGGGCAAGATCGGAGCTGACCCACTCCAGTTTCACAATTCAGTCCCGTATGAGTAGTTGGGCAAACGCAGGTGTAGCCACCTTCGCGCCTTACACAGGTTCCTCCATTCTGGCAGGGATCCGAATAGCAGAGATCCACCTCTGTGTCGCAAAGGTAGTGCTCCTTGCTGCCTGTAAAGCCTTCTGGACAGGAGCAGGCGAAGGTATTTACTGGATAAATAGGCCTGAAGAGCACTGTATCGCTGTGAATGAACTCAGAGGCATTGCCGAACTTTAGGACAGTAAGGCACTCTTCGAAATTCAGGCAGGGTTCACGAACGCAGAGATTGTCATCGAATGGTAGGACCTCCACAGTGGCCAAGCGGGCCAGGATGGCTCTATTCAAGTAGACTCGCTCTTGAAGATACTGCGGTGTGTAGAATTCCTCATGGGAAACATCCGGTCGGCGTGCTGAGAAGCTGACGTTTAATATCCGTGAACTAACATCAGTATCATCTTGAATGCTAAACACAAATATGTGCTCCTTGGGACAGGGAATTATTGCAGCCAATCCATCCAAGAAAAAGTTGAGCAGAGGTGATAGGAAAGCCTCCTCTGTCATCTCATTCAATCGCACAGTTACCGAGTTAAAGAGCATGTCCTCGGTGATCAGACGTACCGAAAGCTGCATGATGGCCTTGGCCTCGTTGATTCCATCCGATACAGATACCTCCATGGTGGCGAACTTGGGTACATTGGTGTTCAGCTGGGGACTAAGAACCAATCCTCCCGAGCTGCTGTTGAGGCGTAGTAGGTTGGCATTGTTACCCGACAGTATCCTGTAATGTAGCTTATCGCTGACATCCGCATCAAAGGCTGGTATTCTTCCGATCTCGCCACTGGGGAAGTGATCGCGGAAATTATTGAATATCACCTGGAAGTCCCGTAATACTGGAGCATTATCATTTACATCCGTGACTAAGATTTCGATATGGGCATCGTTACGCAGTGGAGGACTGGCTGCCCTAACTACCAACTCGAACCGCTTTCGTGTTGATTCATAGTCCAGTTCCGTCATGGTGAGCAGTTGGGCGCGCTCAGAACCAGGTCGAGTTACCAAAGAGAAAGCATTGGAGTCATCACCACCGATAATCGAGTAGTGTACCACTGCATTGACACCTTCGTCGGGATCGTGGGCGTGAATCTCACCCACTACAGAGCCCACCGGCGAGTTTTCCGGCACATAGAGTGTGATTTTGTCTGAAGCGAAAGTTGGTGGTGAATCATTAACATCCTCTAATCGGATCTGAACCTCAACGGTACTGGAAAGTGGGGGTGAGCCCTTGTCTAGGGCAATAGCGGTCAAATGAAAGACAGCTACACTTTCTCTGTCCAATCCCTTATTGGTTCGAATAGTTCCCGAAGTGGGATCGATCACAAAGGACCCGTCCTCTACGTCGCGGTCACTCAACAGGTATTTGATGCGCCCATTAAGCCCCACATCTGGATCACTGGCTGCCACTTGGATCACTGAAGTTCCCACAAGGGCATCCTCCAAAATAGAAGCCTGGTACAGCGGACTCTTAAAAGCAGGTGCATTATCATTTACATCGGTCACTCCTATTTCCACATCGGTTGTGTCACTCAAAGAAGGATTACCTCCATCCTTGGCGGTCACGGTAAGTAGGTATCCACTGGTAGTCTCTCGATCCAAAGGGGCGTTTGTTACAATGGCACCTGTCTGGGGATTGATCGAAAATGGATCCGGACTACCCAAGCCGTTGATGCTCTCTTCATTCAGGGAGTAAGTGATCTGTGCATTAACTCCTACATCACTATCGGTGGCGGATACCACGAGGACCGTAGTACCCACAGGGGCATCTTCAAACACCGAAGCGCTATAGGGTGCATTCTCGAAGATGGGGGCAAAGTTATTGGCATCCGTAATGTTGATATGGACGGTGGCAGTATCAGAACGACCACCTGAATCGGTGGCTGCCACTGTGAGCAGGAAACGCTTCTCCTGTTTGTAATCCAGCGACTGGGCGATGGTAATCAGACCTCGACCATTTTGAGAGGTGATCGCAAACCGTCCTCTTGTGTTCCCCGTAGTAATCTCGTAGTGCAAGCGGGAATCTTCATCGGGATCGGTGGCTGTCACTGTCGTAACTGGAGTTCCCGGTGGTTGATCTTCCCCAACGTTTGCCTCGTAGTACTTTGGATTAAAAGCGGGATCGTTGTCGTTGACATCCTGCACGGTGATCACCACTGAGGAACTTGCGGATTTGGGGGGCACACCTCCATCTTTGGCTACCACCTGGAAGGCAAAACGTCCTTGCTCTTCGCGATCCAGTGGCTTAATGGTCTGAACCCAACCAGTTCGAGGATCCACTGCCAGGGGAAAGTTGTCATCCCTCTCTGAAATACTGTATGTAATCTCTGCATTGGCTCCTTCATCGGAGTCGTAGGCCTGCACCCTTATGATGTTGTAGCCCACAGGGACATTCTCGAGTACGCTCTCCTGGAACTGTGAGGTATAGAACCTCGGAGCATTGTCATTCGCATCGATAACGTTCACTAGGAGCTGGGTTGTATTACTCCTTGAGGGACTACCTCCATCCTGGGCGCGAATTACAAGTCTATAACTGCGTACACTTTCGTAGTCCAGTGGCTTCACCAGACTCACATCACCGGACATTGAGTCGATGGAGAACTGTGACTGCGTATTCCCTCCAATTATTGCATATCGTATAGCGGCATTATTGCCTTGATCCGCGTCCGTTGCCCGGATGTGAGCCACCGTGTTATCTTCAGTACCTCCCCACTGGTCTTCAGGAACTTGGACCGTGTACGTCCTTTCACTGAACTGCGGATAATTGTCGTTGTCATCGAGGACTTTCACCTGTACGCTAGCAGTGGCTGTCCGTCTTTCACTCTGTGCTGAAGCCATGTCCGCAGCTGTTACTAACAGGTGGTAGCTATCCGATGTCTCCCGATCCAGGCTACTCCTCGTCGAGATCACACCTGAGCGGGAGTCGATCCGGAAGATAGGCATCTCTTGATCCTGAGCCAATCCCGCGCCATCTAACGATAAACAAGAATAACAAAATAGATTTAGTATAATAATAATATATGAGATTATATTCAAATGATATTTGCTTTGGTCAGCTTATCAACTCACCAGTCACTGCCTCTATTCCATATTCGATTTCTGCATTTTTGCCAATATCCTGATCGGTAGCTCGTAATGTAATAACCGTCGACCCCACAGTGGCTCCTTCTCGGATACTCGCCTCGAACTGTTCCGCTTCAAAGGAGGGACTATGATCATTGCAGTCCAGAACGTTCACCTGCAACGTCGTCGTACCGGATCGCGGTGGAAAACTGTCATCTGTGGCCACCACTCGAAAGTAATGCACATCCATCAGCTCACGGTCCAGGCTGGCAGAGGTAGTGACGACGCCAGTTCTTGAATCCACTTTGAATAGCGACTGGGAGCGGGAGTCCAGCAGAGAGACCATGGAATAAACCACAGGAGAATCTTCGGGATCTCGTGCCCGTACAGTAGTCACTGCAGAACCAGCCGGTTGCTCTTCCAACACGGAGGCCACATAAAGAGCTTGCTCAAAGTAAGGTGATTGATTGCGCAATTCCCTTCGCACTCTCTTGGCAATATCCGTGTCATTAAACTCCTGGTGGTGGTACACGATTTTTAGCCGGTGGTCTGAATCTACGATATCACGTCGATCACACCGGATGTTGAAAGTAATGCTCACTTTCCACATGGACTCTGCGATGCAGACATCCCTGCTGGCCACAAGATCTCTGCTCTGGTGCTCGATGGCGAAACGCTCATCGTTCACATCCAGGAAACTCACTTTACAGTGCTGGCATACAGATCGGGGCAAGAAGGCATTCAAGCTGTTGATGAACTGTGAACGCCGCAAGCAGATCTGGTTCCACTTATCCGTGGTGTGAATGGCATAAGAGGCATATGTTTCCGAGATCCACTGTTTGGCATCGGAAATCCGGCGATGCAGGGCGGGTTGCAGATGCAGCGGATCCGGTGATCCCACGGCTCTTCTTTTTCGATTCAATATCCTGTGTCTCATCTCATTGTCGAAACTATCTCCGAAGATAAGATCTCCAGCTCGGAATTCCGTACTATTACGACGGAAATCCTCCTCCAACTGGTTGCCATTTAGTTGGATTATCTCCTGGGTGGATCGCCTTCTTCTACGTTTCGAATAACCCGTATTGTCCTCCTCTTCGTAGTGATGGTGGTGCAGTTCCTGCTCTATTCTTCTATCTTCATTGCAACTGTGTCCGGAGACAAAGATCCTTACAGGCAGGCTATAATAATCTATGCTACGCAGTCGATTTGAAGTGGAGTCCACATAGAAGGTGAATAGATTTGGATAGTAGATGCCATCGCATTTGAGGGCCTTCTTCAGCTGAATCTGACCATCCTTGTGGCTAACGGAGACCAGATGGTGTACAAAGTTAGCCGATTTGTGGGCATTGATCTTGTAATGCCGCTCCGAACCCAATTTATAGACGGAGGCGTTGAAGATTACAGTGCCTGGAGGAGTGTCCTCGTGCACGATAATCAGGTAGCTCTTGATGAGCGATGATTGCAGCAGGACCACAAGGAGCACAAGAAGCAGGCCCAGGGGCCTTCGAGGAAACTCCCTCGTCTGCATGGCTCAACCACGTGGCCTGATTTTGGTCGTTGTGTTTGTGTGTGTGTTACGGTCTCTCTCCGTATGTGCTTGGGTGTGCCGAGTGTGTGTATGTGTGTGGGTGTGGTGCGGGAACCAACAAACCACAGTGCAATTAATGTTCCTATTCAATTATCATCGGTGGGCGGTTGTGTGGGCGTGGCCATCTGTCTGCAAAAGGGAAAGAAAATTCATAGAGTCAGTAAGGTCAGGGGGAAGATAATTGCATTTGCTCTTAAAAGTAGGCAATGTTTTTGGGGTGCGACATTCGCTTGTAAAATTATATCAACGAAAAGTGTTGGATTAAAGTGATTTTCTTTCACTTTAAATTTTATTTTATAAAAAGTATAATCTTCATGTTTAAATCTTTTAAAAAATCATTAACGCATACTTGCTAACTGGCAATTACATTCGGTTCTTCCTCTTAAACTCTTAATATTCATAATTCTCCCTAAAATGAATTCCAGGAAATATGTATGTAAGGTAGCTGCTGTTTTGGCATTTTTAATGCTGCCTTTGACTTAATTAAAAACTCTTCACAAAAAGCTCTCTCAAATTTCCCAGGCAGCTCCAAAACAGCGGGTAACATTTTTAATTTCATTTTCCTGCGCCACGACGACTAGCTAATATATATCTAGATAAAATGAAATTTAATCTTTTTTCAGGATTCTTTGCCGCTTTGTTTGGCCAACAATTTTTTGCCAGCCCCTTTTGACATTTCTGGGAAATGAAGTATACAGCTTAATCAGACAACGTGGTGGAAAATGGCGACATCGACGGTTGCGGAGCGGCAAGTGCAGCCAACAAAATGCCACAATGTGACACTGTCCAAAGCTCGGATGACCGTTACCCGATGGCCATTCGGTCGGTGGAGTTGAAAATTTAATGAAATTCGATTTGATGTCCCTCTAATGGCCATTTGGCAAGCGTTTTGGGTTCGTTAATTAACTAAAGCCAGTCGAAAACGTACGGACTGGCGCTCATACCATACCCAAAATTGCGATTTGGTCCGACTTAGTCCACTCAGGTGGAAAAGGGGGCGAAGGTCAGGTCGTCGTGTCGAATTCCATTTCGAATTCAAGTTGCAACTAAACTGTTTGTTCATTGTGTTGCTCATTTCGGTGCAGATAATTCGCACGTTCGCCCCATGAAGGACACGTCGTGCCGAAAATCCCTATTTCTGGTCCTGTCTGGCATTGCGTATACGCAGTGTGGGATAGCACACCTGCATTGCATGGCAAAGTGTCCTGGTCCTGTTTAAGGATATCAAGTGGACTGACATATGTTAGACTCTTATCTGGGGGAATATGAAACGATTTGGATTTTTGGACAATTTTCAAATTATTGAACTTCAGATCCTGACGTTCTGTTTTTATTTCAGCTTTTGGGATTTAAACTGCAAAGGCTTTCAGTATAAATCAGTATTTTAATATTTCCAAAATACTTTATTCGGCTTTTAACCTTTTAGTTTAGCTACTCTTATTAAATGAGTAAAAGAGTAAAATTTAATTTTATATTCCTTTTCCACAGCTTTAAGAGGCTTTGAGTTATTACCCCTGGTACTCAAAAAGGCCATTATAAAAATGTGTTCTCAAATGAAGTGTAGACAGGTTATAATGCTCGTAGGGCGAGAGCTCAAACTCCCAAGGAGCCGTAACTTATGTTTCTAGGTTGGGTTCCTGTGTGTTTTTATTATTGTTTTCTTTTTTTTTTTGTGTTTTTTGGAGAACTTCCCTAGACTGCAGTTGCGTGTGTCGGTAGTCGCTTGTCGCCGTGTTAATTGCAGTGTTAAAATGTTTAATTAAAATTTCAGCTTGGCCGCGCTCGCCGTAGACGTGCGCCAGACCCAGGCCCAGACTTTATTATTGTTATTGTTTTTCCAGGCGGCTGAGAGAGCACACACTGGCACACCCGCTTTCCACCGCCTATCCACATTTTCCACCTGGCCACCGGGGGCAGACGCTTTTCATGGTTCGTCAAGCTTAAAACAGGCAGCGTAGAGCGCCTGGCAGCAAACATGAAATTATTAAATTTTCACACGTTGCCTCGCATAAAACAATTGAAAAACGAAAGGCAAAACCGAAACACCAGGTGCTTTTTGCATAGTTTTCCACCAACTAATTAATAAATTTTTCGGAGACTGCAGCAGTTGCAGTTCTGTGAAGTTCGGTAGCTAATTAAGAATGCGTCACTGTGTCGGCTGGCAATTACAAGTTGCCATTTTGTTTTATTGCCACCTCTGCCTGCCATCAGGCAAATCGTAATTCAAAGTTATGACGCGATATATATGTGTTTTGAGCGCCATATGTGTGGCTTCGCCGGTGGGGAAATTGTCAAAAATATTGTTGCGGGGATACTGGGTGGGTGGTAAAGGCCGGAAAAGGAAGCCAGGCAAATATTTCCCACGTGTAACGAACACCGTCAACAACGGCGAAACGGGAAATGGGAAATGGGAATGTGACTGTCCATGGCGAGAAAGGGTTGGCCATAAACACTCGCGTTTTACGGGACATCCAGCCGCCCCACCAAAGAGCCCTGGCAGCTGGGAAACTTTTTAAGTAGCACAATCCTGGGAAGGTGTACCTGAAATATTATCCAGCCCCAAAGTTCTCGCATTCTCCGGATTCCTTTTCAGCTACGTCTTGGCCGTTCACAAAAGGGGAAAATGTAAACAGAGATGGGGGAGTTGTTAAAATATAAAAAATAAACAGAGAAAGGGAACATGAAACGTGTCAACTTTAAGCTTGATGGAAATTTATCACGACCCGCCTCCCTGCGGCTTTTCTGAGGGGCGTGGCTAGCTCCTCAACGTCTCCTAATGAGCATCTCAAAGAAGGAGCTGATTTTAGTGATTTTTTGCTCTGTTTTTTTGCTCAGCTAGCAAGAACGTAGAAAATTTCGTTAAAGGCTAATGAAAATTGATCAACATTATGTAAAAGTGGGGAAGGAATATTGTTTCCCCTACAGAAAGGACCTTAATTGAATTTCATCTAAGGCTTGGCTGAGTGATTTCCCTTTTGGGGCAAATTAATATTATTGCTTGTTTTGTTTTAATGAAGTGGCAAATATCCAAGGGACTCACTGTCTGCCGTCTGTGAATTTACCATAAATTCGTGGCCAGGATAAGGCGGTCGCGTGCCAGGCAGACATTAGCCAATTCGAGGACACGAAGTGCAATAAAATTCATTGTCTGCCAGGATACGAGACAGCAGCTTGCGTGCCGGAAATGCGCTTGTCTCCGGTCTAGACGTTCCTTGGTTAGCAAAACTAAATGAAAATGTGAGGAAAACGAGCTAAACTAAGGAAAATAATATATAAATATAATACACCTGGCGAGACGTGTGAGCGGTAAACTGCATTAAGGCCACATTAGTTGGCCCACACGACGTATACGTAATTTGAAAAGTCTGTGGAATGGAATTCTCAAGGGAAGGAGGGTTCTGAGGCTGAATATTTTAAATGCCAAATACCAGACGAAGCTCTTAGCCCCGAGTGAAAGTGTTTTTCTTTTCGGATGGCGGGAAATTAATTTCCACTCACCCGGGCACCAATTAAATTTGTACGAGGGAAAAGCATTTGCAATGGTCTTTGTTAGTAAAATGCAAAATGCAATCGAGGACGACAAAAGGAAGCAGCCATTGCAGCGGAAGCGGGACAAAAAGTTTCCACAACAACAGGAACATGGCATACGAACAACAGTACACATACAAACACACCCACACACACACACACACACATTCATTAAAATAAGGGGAAAGCGGAGAAAGCAATGCCGAAAGAATCGAAAGAAGAAAAGTTCCCTTTGTTGCTGCTGATGCTGTTGCACTCATTCTTCGCTGAAGGCAGAAAAGCAACAAGCAGCAACAAATGCAAACTGCCAGCAAACCTCTGACCGAAAAGCCATCCCCTAAAATCCCACCCACAGGACCCACCAACAACTATAATACAGAATCACCACCATCCAACCCACCTCCCCAAACACAAGCAAACATGCGAGAGAGAGAACAGAGCAAAGCAATGCAATTGAGCTTAAACGATAACATTGTCCAAAGCAATGCATATGGAAAACTGCGGAAAAAGGAGCAACGAATAATGTGTATTGTGTGTTAGTGCACTAGAAAAATTTTCAAGTTGATGCTTGGGTGATTGTCATTAACAGAATTTTTCTTTAAAAAGTATAAATATTACTTTAGAACTTAAATTATAAATTATAATTTCATAATTAATACTTTTCATTACTCGAACTGCATTCTGAACCTTACGAATAAATTTCAATTTTTCCCCACAATTTTATTTAAGTGTCCTCAGACCTAGGAAAAGAGAAAACTTGACTTGCAACATGGCGTACAAATTAAAAGTGTGCCAGCGGCGAAACAAGTAGTACAGGAAGTGCAGCAGCTGAACAGGAGGAACCTCCGGTACTTGCTGTGGCCCGGCTAAGGATTTAGATTTAGAAGGAACACTGAGAATTCCGTAGGACTCGCATTTAAATGCAAATCAGAGTTCCCGCCGCCACCGGCGATCTGCTCGCGCTCCATTAGCGCGTATCGCAAGAAGGAGATTTATGTCGAAATGCCAAGTATTCTGGCGGGAAAGGCAACAGAACAGCGGTAGCAGCAGCAGCAGCAGCAGCAGCCACTTGACATTTCCACTTAATTGTGGAACTAAGCTAAGCCAAGTTTTCCCAGCTCGACACAAAATCAATGGCGGATTCGCTCGAGTTGCCTTCCTTCCTTCCGGAATTGCTTAATTAATGGGAGAAGAATCGCTGAATTAGTGCAAAACTTCTCTAACTGGAGCTTCGAAATCTATTTGAGAAATTCGGGAAAGTTTCGAAGGGCTCTTAATTTATCCAAAAAATGAGTAGCAGCAGCTGCAGCTACAGCCTTAAGGATGAGCTTTAAGAGTTCCTCCATAATTCAGTTGAACTCCAACTTCCTCAGATCGATTGCCCACTTGGCCAGCAGGGGAAGTTTTAAGTAGATGTCAACGCGGCAAAAGGCTGTCGTCTGTCCAGGATGACCCAGGACATCCTCTCCTCGCATTAATTGCACAATCCGTAGGACAAACAGTGGAGTGGGGTTAACAGGAATGGAAGGAGCCACGGGCAGCCGGAGCCGCATCCGCCAAAAGGAAACAAAGGATGACAAACGAAATGCGTAAATAAAATG